AGGAAGGAAACAGTATCTCATGCAAGTGCCATCCTGACCTCCCACCCCACAGCCTAAGAATCACCAGACAAAGGGAATGACTGAGGGGTCACCTAGGAGACGGACCAGGCTCAGTGGGGACAGCTGAGAGCAGTAGAAAGAAAAGAGACTTCAGGTTGGCAGCTGCCTTCAGATCCACGAAGGGAGAGAAGAGGAAGGAAAAGAGCTACGATTTCTCAAGAACCACCTCTGTGTCAAGGCCCAAGGGGCCCCAGCAAGTCAGGGGCTGTGGAGAAATGACTAGGACTGCTGGAAGCTGCAGTGGCTCCCTGGGGCCAAGGAAAGGGTAGGGCCTGTCTTTTGCTGGGGCGCAGGGTCTAGGCATACTAGATGGGGCTGCTGTGGGCCCTGTGAGGCCGCAAGGCTGTCTGTGCCTCAACCACCCAGCTGAAAGCTTTCATCCCTCTTCTCCCTGAAGCCTCCCTGAGTCCACTACGGCTCTTTCCTCTGCCTCTCCAGACTCTTCTTGAAGGAGGTCATGATAATGAGGGGCCAGGGCAGGAACTGTGAACAGGCCCCTTCTGTCCCCTTAGAAAGAGGCTGGAAAACAACCTGATTCCACCTTTGGGGCAAAGCAGGTTTTGCCTGTCTACCAGGAAGAAAGTAAAAAGTAGATTTAAAAAAAAAAAAAAAAAAAGGTAGTTCCTGCTTTGGAAGCCTGGGTACCCGTCAGTTCAAGAGGCCAATCCAAGCTCAGCCTTTACCTAGCTGTGTGATCTGGCCCATGCTGCTGATCCTTCTATGTAGCATTCCCCATACATAAAATGGGGATACCAGTAGTTGCCTCACAGGGTTGTTGTGAAAGTTAAGTGCATTAATCTATGAGATGCGCTAGAATGGTTCTGGAACATAATGAACAGTTATTAAATGTCAATAAGACTTGTTACTATTAGGTGAAACCCTTTAACCTTGGGCTTTGGGAGAACCTGCCTCATCTGATTCCTTTCCTATTTTAAAGGGAGAGGCTACTAGTAGTTCAGTTGACTTGTAAGTGGTCAGGATGGTGACTCCTTGTGGTGCTTGTGGTCTTAGCTACCAGGAGGCTGAGGTTAGGTTGCTAGAGCCTAATTTGAGACCAGCCTGGACAACATACTGAGACCCTATCTCAAAAGATGAAACAAAACACCAGGTGCAGAGGTGCATGCCCGAAATTTCAGTAACTGGGAGGACTGAGGCAGGAGGATGGTGATTTCAAAGCCAGCCTCAGCAACTTAGTGAGGCCCTAAGCAACTCAGCGAGACCCTGTCTCAAAATAAAAAAAGTTAAAAGACTGGGGATGTGGCTCAGTGGTTAAGTGCCCCTGGTTTTATCCCTGGTACCAAAACAAAACAAAAAACAAAATCCTTGCAGGCATATTTCCATACCTTCAAGCCCAGGTATTTTTTGAATAAATGAGTGAGTAAACAAATGAGTGAGGTTCTCACACCAGCACAGTGAAGGTACTAGGACAGGATTTCTTTCCTTATTTACAAATGTAAAAATCCGGTTTATGGCTGGCTGCCTCTTTTCCTAATGCAGGAATAAGTAATGAACAGTTGCTCAGTTGCTTCTGGGAATAGGAAATACATTTTCTGCAGCATTAACCCCCTCTAGACTGCCTCTCTCCAATAGATTACCAGGAGACACAGTTGTTTAAGGACAGAAGGAACCAAAGTAGGGGACAGCACTTGCTCAGGCTGCTCAAGCTGTAACCCTTTCTACACCCGCCAGGCTTGCCTAGAGGCAAGCCCCTGTCCCCTGGGCCCCAGCTCCACTACTGTGTGCAAAAGAAGGATGACAGCTGTGGCTTTCAAAAATGCCTTCAGAGCAAGAAAACCCTTTCTTTGAATGAAACCATCAAGAAAATTAACAAAAGAAGTGAAACTACTAGGGCTTAGTGGCCCACATAACCTCTCCCTGCAAAGACCTAAGGGCCTCAATAGAAAATTCCTGGACTAGGTCCCTAAGGGCCCTCTGCTCTGATGTGTGTCCACAGACACTGAAATTCTTGAAGTGTGTGTGGAAGTCACTATCCGCCAGTCCAGCTGAGGAGGAGTTGGGGTTGGAGCATGTGGTCAGTGCAGCATAAAAGAAAGGGCACAGCTGAGAAGTCAGAGTTCTGCTTTCAAATCCCAGTTTGCTCGCTTGCTTAGTGGTCAAGGCATGAGTTTGCGCAAGGTACTCAAGCTCTGTAAGTCTGTAAAATGAGCTGATGGTAACAGTGCTATTGTAAAGGTTGACAACATATAAAATACCTAGCTCCCAGTCTGGCATGCAGTTGGAGCTTAATGATTGGTAATTGTTATTGCTAGGGACAAGAGGCTTCCACTGAGCCCAAGGCCTCTGCCTTCCTCTGTTCCCAACACTTGCTATATACCAAGGCCTAGCAGGGAGGCCAGGCCTGGGAGTAGGAGCGGGGGTCTTCCAACAGTGAGCCCTGCAGTTTCCAGGCTTGGAGCTTTGTCAGTTGTGATGACTTCACAGGGTTGCCCATTACCCCAAGCAGTTCTGGGCTCATCTGAGGTTAAGGATGAAAAAGAGCCTAGCTCACCTGCAGTGATGAGGAAACTGAGGCCCAGAAAAGGGAGAGACTGATTTCTTAAGTGGTTTTTTTGGAGCCATGTATGTTCCTATATGGACACATGTTCCTGCTCTGAGGAAGCAGACAGTAGTCCCAGCTAGTGGCCGAGAACTTCAAGGTGGGCTTATGATGAAGGTTTGTTGGAATTGGTCACCTAGAAAAGTCACTTCCTCCTAGAGTCCATTAGAAGAGGGGTCCACAGTATTATGCAAAGGGACAAATAAAATCCATTGGGTTATGAGAGCAGGGCTGGGTTAGGATTCTGGAAAGACTAGGATTCCTGGGTATATGGCAGGGGAGGGATGGCACCTGACTCAGCTGTAACCTGCCTCCTGCCCCTGGCCCCCTCCTGAGTGTGAAGTCATCTTCCTTTGAAACCTGCCTGCCCTTCTTCAGTCCAGATGGCACCACTGCCATCTTGCACCAAAACTCATGACTCTGACCCAGGTCCCTTCTCCTTTCCAGTCCACACCTCTGCCCTAGAGGCCTGTGTCATTCCTGTCTGTAACTATAGCAGTCCTCCCACCCCTCACCTCTCTTCTCCCCTTCTGATCTGCCCTCTGCCCTGGCAAGCTCTAGTCCAGGGACATTTAATGGCACTCCAGGTCCCATAAGATAAAGCCCAATTCCCGAGACCCTGTAGGATTGATTCACCTCTTCTAAAAGCCTTCAATGAGCCCCATGCCGAGATGTCCCCCTCTCCTGAACTTTCACCGCTCTTCACTTGCATGTCCTGCGGCTTGGATCACTTCCCACTTTTTCCTGGAGCACTGTGGTGCCTGCCTTTCCTTCAACCAGATCTACTGGTTCATTTCACAATCCAAATGAACACTCCTGAGGATGGCCCACTGATAGACAGCACTGGGTTTACAAATTGGTACAGAGCTCACAGATGGTGAGAAGAGAAGTGCGAGAGGAAGAGATTAAAAAAGAAGAATGGGAACACAGCTGGTTATCAGTTGTTCTGGAAAGCTGTTTTGGATAAAATATAGCTGGTTAAAATATGGCTTTAGAGAATTTGTGGATTTTCTCCTAAATCTATAGAGAAATAAATTGATTTCCCAAGTAGAGATCAGAATGCTCTCTAGCATCTGCCATAGTTTGCCCCATCACTACCTATCATCCTGTTCTTTTAACTACATGACAACCTCTTCACCTTCCCATATAGGAAGCACCTTGGGGATCATATTGTACAGATGGGGAAACTGAAGCATAGAGAGGTGAAGAGCCTTGCTCAATATCACAGAGCAAGTTATTATTATTTTTTTAGTTGTTGATAGACCTTTATTTATTTATATGTGGTGCTGAGAATCGAACCCAGTGCCTCACACATGCCAGGCAAGTATGCTGGCGCTAAGCTACAATCCCAGCCCCCCCCCCAGCAAGTGATTTTCAGGCCAGAACTGAAGTCAGACCTGCCAGGAGAGCTGGAGGTAAAGTGGGTTAGGACCAAAGCCAGAGAAAGTCACTTACTCCCCATGCTGGCATCTCATGAGGACAGACCTACGAAAGTACAAAACATTACTTATCTGAGGCTGACAACCTCAGTGAAGCAGGACTTCTGAACTCTATCCATTAGCTGTTCTTGAGGGGCTGTGTGAAGTGGGGCACGCCTGTAATCTCAGCAGCTAGGAGGCAGAGGTAGGAGGATCACAAGAGGCCCTAAGAAATTTATTGAGATCCTCTCTCAGAATAAAACATAAAAAGGGTTGAGGTTGTGGCTCAGTGGTTAAGTGCTCTGGGTTCAATCCCTCATACCAAAAAAAAAAAAAAAAAGACCAAAAAACAACTTCCTGTTGGGTGGAAACTATGGTGAGATAGATAAACACAAACTATTCCTAGCCACCAGAAGTGAGGAGTCAGTGGGGAGCTGGTCTGTGGCTAAACATTCCTCCCAGGCCCACACAGAGTTAGCCTTCCCTCCGTAGGGGATCAGGGATGGGTTTCCACTATGGGAGTTGAGCTTAGAAGGATGAGGAGGACTGTCAGGCTGGGGATCAGGTTGGGCCAGGGTCATTCAGAGTTCCAGGGAAAGGCACCAGTGTGCCAGACTCGGCTGCAGTGCAGGGTGTAGGCAAGGGATGGTGACCAAGGCCCAGAGGGCCTGAGGCAGGGCTGAAGAAAGTGCTCTTTTAATCTGCAGATGACGGATGGGACAGACAGTGTTTGGGAGGACAGAGGGAGACCTGCATTTCAGAAAGGTCACCATGAAAATCAGTGGTGAGGACAAGCAGCAACAGGTTGGAGATAAAAAAGGAGTCAGACTGTGCCTGGCACCTGGCCTGGCATAGAGAGGCACTCAGAAGAGGAGGAGCCCCGAAAGAATGAAAAGGATGCTCAGAGTTGTCCTTAGGAGGATTGAACAGAACAGGGTGATTTGCAGCGAGAGATGCTTTCAGTTAGTTGCTTTTTCCAACTGTAACTTGGTCCTTCTCCTGAAACAAAGCAAAAGCCACGCCTTGGCCGGACGCAGAGCGCAAATCCCATCAGCGCCTAGTAAACCTCCCTGACGCAATGTCTGGCCTGCAGCCAGGGGGACCCTCCCTCGGTCTCGCCTTCCTTCCCTCTCTCCCGGTGGTCTCACCGTCACTTTGGCTTTCTGGTTGCCCCGGAAACTGTCCCGGCTGCGCCGCTGGACGTTTTGCCCCGTGCGCCCTGCATCCCGCACCCAGGGGTCCCGCATCGCAGCCAGAGCTGCATCTCTGGAGCAGAGGCAGCGGTTCCGCTCCCCGAGACCAGGGTGGCGGAGACCAGGGCGAGGGTCCAGGAGTCTGGGACTCCGGAGTCCAGCCAGCACCGCGGCTTACCTGACTTGCCCATGGCCGGCTCTGCGAGCTCCTCCGCTCCCGCTGCGGCTGCGGCTGCGGCTGCGCTGGCGGCACTTAGTGGCGGGCCCCAGCAGCTCCACCAGCCAGGAGTGGGCCGAGCGGCCGCAGTCCCTCCCCCGGAGCCGCCCGGCCTCCGCCTTATAAGGTAATGACAGCTGCAGGCGGAGGCGCCTGGGGCCACCCGCGGGACTCCCCGAGAACTCCTCTAGCGAAGGGAATTCCGCCACTGCACGGGGCTCTCCGGGTGCGGACCAGACCTCGGGCCTCCTGGGTCGCGGTCCCTAGCGGTTCCATCTCTGGGGATGGAAGAGGGCCGCGCGCGCCTGCCACGTGGTTCCGGGGAACTCCTCCGAGTCTGACACGCTGCGAGGACCGCGGTGCTCTCTAGCAAGGTTCCGGGGACGGTTCGGGCCAGCGCCACCAGGGGTCGGTACCCTCCCCACCTCAGTCTGTCCCCCCGACAGGCCCCCAGTGTGCTCCTTCCCTTCCCCAGGGAGTCTGGGCTCCAGAGCTCCTCTCTCCAGGACATACTTACCTCATATCCAGGACATACTTACCTCGTAAGTCCAGGTAGGAATTTGGCACTCCCAGACCCTCCTGCATGAGCTGCCCCAGGGAGGCTCCTGCAGACCGGTCTAACCTACTCATTTGACCCTCCCTGCCTGTCAGATCCAGCCAAATTCCCCACCTCTGAAGTCTGGCTTCATTCAGACTTGCCTCTTTACTTCTCTAGCTTTGTACCACGCTCCCTTCAAACTTGATTTCGCGATACTTCCAAAACATATGCTTGGATTTCCCACATCTTTGCCGTTTCCTCAGGCTGTTTCCTCCCTGCAACTGCAATGGGTAGAGAAGGGCTGCTGCCTGACTGCAGTTCAACCCACTCCTCAAGGTCTGCCAGTCTTTTCAGTTACAGAGGCTCTCCCCTTTCCTGGTCTTAGCCGAAGTAGACACCCGATATTGGGGAAAGTTGGTCACTGTTGAGGCCCCACCCTTATGTGAGAAGAGCTTGGGGGGCATTCTGAAGGTGTATCCTGAGTCACCTGAGCCAGACTCCCGCAGTGACTCCTTCATGGGAAGGGGCTCTGGAAACTCTCCTGTAGGATACTAACTTCAAGACCTCCCCCCCCCCCCAGTAAATGGGTATTGACATGAACAGACCTGCTGATTATAAGGGCAGAATTTGTAATACCAAGGGCTAACAAATGTCCAGTAGGATAATAGGGTTGGTACTGCCCCCTCTATTCTATGCCAGGTAAATGCCCTTTTGTACTTTCATGTTAGTGTGGGTCTAACTAGTGCCCACTGAGTTAAAAGAGACTTCTGGTGCTAGGTGGACATGCCTACAGTCACCACTGTTAATCCTTATCAGGGGATTAATACACTAATTTGGTTAGACCTCTATACCCAATCATTTCTGCTCTAAACTTTCTTGCATTCTCTGACACATGAGCTTTTGGGGGACACTGCAGATCTAAAGCATAACAATAATCATTTGATATGTTTAATTCCCTCTTCCATTTGCCAACAAATCCCCATTGAAATCATCAGAAGGTCATTGGTCAGGGGTCCAATGAGGTCCCTCCAAAGAGAATGGGACCTCAACTCAGCCTGGGCAGGTTCTTGACTTTTCTTGTTGAAAAGAATTCCAGGATAGATCAATAGCAAGATACAAGCCAAGATTTATTTAAGGAGAGCAAGGTATACACATCCCAAAAGCAGAATGTGGGCATCCCTGGCTTAGAGAAGGCAAGTGACACACAGTGTTGAACTCATTGATTACATACATGATTTTCACAGGAAGAAACATGCACCTTCCAAGGCAAGCTTTTTTGAAAATCAAATCCCATGATAACTGTTTTAGTTAGCTTTTTCACTGCTGTGACCAAAAGACCTGACTAGAAAAACTAAAGGAGGAAAAGTTTACTTGGGGGCTCACAATTTCAGAGGTCTCAGTCTGTATAAGACAGCTTTATTCCTCAGGGCTCAGGGTAAGGTGGAAGAGTGTGGTGGAGGAAAGCAGCTCAAGACATGGAACAGGAAGCAGAAAGAAATTAAGCTGAGTTCACAAAATATAAAAGGCACACCCCTAATGACCCACTTCCTTCAGCCATACCCAACACGCCTACAGTCACCACTGTTAATCCTTATCAGGGGATTAATACGCTGATTTGGTTAGACCTCTATACCCGATCATTTCTGCTCTAAACTTTCTGGCATTCTCTCACACAAGAGCTTTTGGGGGACACTGCAGATCTAAAGCATAACAATAATCTTTTGATATTTGGGGCTCGGGGTGTTTCTTTTTGGTTAAGCAGTCTAGCCACAAATCATTTGTGGGCACATTGAGTAATTCTTTGAATCTGGTGACATTAAATTGATTATGTTTTTGTCCTTGTTGATGTGTTACAAGCACAGCTGCAGGTTTCGTTTATCTAAGGGTCTCCATCTACTGAGTCTCTTTTTCTCTCTCCCTGAGAACTCACCTGTGTCAAAATGGCCTCCAGAATCTCTAGAAAGCCGTTTAGGTATTCCCCAAACTTCAAGGTCAAGAGTAGAGACCGCTGAGACTAGAGGAGCCACTTACTACACGCAGAGGGGTAGCCCATCTGGGACCACCAGGCCTCAGTCACTTACTCACTCACTGTTCAGAGGTGAGTCATGGAGGTGAGAAGACAGGGTCAAATTCTTAACTCAGTGGTATCTCTGGAGTCTGTGGGGTGGGATGCTGTGGGCTCTTTGAGCTGACCTTAGCAGCAGGCACAGTGCTGAATGAAGTGAGGGCATGGCCTAGCTGGCCCCTACCAAGAGCCAGGGGCTGGTTAGAGGGGAGGTATTGCCCCAGTGATCAGACAGAGATAAGCAACAAACAATAAGGTCAGACACAAAGAAGAGCGAGTCACCCAATTTATGAATTTTTGTTGTGTTTATGTCTTATTTAAGAATGCCTGGCCCAGCATGGTGGCACTCTCCCATAATCCCAGCTACTCAGGAGGCTGAGGCAGGAGGATTGTCAAGTTTGAGGCCATCCTGGGCAACTTAATGAGATCCTATGTCAAATTTTTAAAACATTAACAAGTCTGGGGATGTAGTTCAGTGGTAGAGCACCCCTGGGTTCAATCCCCAGTAGAAACACTGACTACAAAAGAAAACAGAATAAGAGAAAATAACTTCTGGGCTGATATAGCTCAGGGGTACAGCATATGCTGAGCCTGGGGAAACCCCTGAGTTCATTTCCTAGCAACAAAAACAAACAAAAACAAAAACAGAACTCCTTTCCTATTCCAAAATCATGAAAATTGAGCTAGGGATGTAGCTCAGCAGTACAGAACTTGCCTAGCATGTTAAAGGTCTTGGGTTCCATCACCAGCACCGCCGCCCCCCTGCCCCGGAAAAAAATCATGAAAAATTTCCTGTTTTCTTCAGGAAGTTTGACTTTTAGTTTTTACATTTAATTCAAGCTCTTTTATTCTTATTTTATTGTGGCATAGTGTGAAGCTGGTTGTGGTTCTCTTTCCTTTCTTCTTTTTTTCTTTTCTATTTGGCATTGACTATTCTAGTATCATTTCTTCAAAAGATTTTTCTTTTCCAGGTGGCTATCTATCTGTAGGCTCTCTATTCTGTTCCTTAATCTACATGTGTATTCTTATACCAGTACCACACTGTCTAGATTACAATAGCTTTATAACAAATTTTTAAAAAAAATTTTTTAGTTGTCGATGGACCTTTAATTTATTTATTTATATGTGGTGCTGAGAATCGAGCCCAGTGCCTCACACATGCTAGGTAAGCGCTCTTCCACAGAGCTACAACTCCAGCCCCTACACCAAATTTTGAAATAAGGTAGTATAAATCCTCTTTCTTTTTTTTTTCTCCCTGGAGTTGTTTTATTTAAGTCTTTAAAAAGATGTTTTATTTAAGTCCATATGAATTTTAGAGTCAGCTTGACAATTACATTTTTTTTTCCTTTTGTAGTGCCAAGAATCAAACTCAAGGCCTTATGAATGCTTGGCAAGTGCTCTACCACTGACCTACATCCCTAGTCTAGTTAATGGAAAATAAAACAAAAAAAAGTTTGTTGGGATTTTGATTTGGATTGCATTAAATGTGTAATTAAATTTGGGGAGAATTGACCTCAATGATATTGAGTTTTCTGATCTATCAGGATGGTATATCTTTCAGTTCATTTTTTAATCTTTAATTTCTCTTGCCATGTTTTATGGGATATTGGTCAGCAGTTAGCTTTTTATTTATTTATTTTTATTGTTATTGTTCTTTAAAAAAATATTTATTCTTAAGTTTTAGGTGGACACAATATCTTCATTTTACATTTATGTGGTGAGGATTGAACCCAGTGCCTCGTGCATGCTAGGCTAGCACTCTACCACTGAGCCACAACACCAGCCCCTTTATTGTTATTGTTGTTACTGGGGATTGAACTCAGAGGTGCTCTACCACTGAACCACATCTCCAGTCCTTTTTATCTTTTTTTTGTTTTTGTTTTTGAGACAGGGTCTCATCAAGTTGCCAGGGCTGCCCTTGAACTTACAATCCTCTTGCCTCAGCCTCCTGAGTCCCTGGAATTACAGCTGTGCACATTGCCATGCCTGACAGTTTTTTTCTTCAATATATATATATATATATATTTTTCAGATTTGGGCATCAGAGTGATGCTGGCATTACAAAATAAATTGAAAAGGGTCGTCTATTTTCTAAAAGAGTTTGTATAGAATTTGTATTATTCTTAAATATTTGCTATAAATCAACAATGAAGCCTTCTATTCAAAGAGGTGTTTGTTTTGTTGGTTTTTTGGGGGGGGGAATTTTGAACTACAAATTTAATATTATGAATAGATATAGAACCATCCAGATTATGTACGTCTTAAATGAGCATTGGTAGCTTGTATATTTTAAGGAATTTGCCTATTTTGCTCATCTTAGTAGTCAAATTTATAGGAATAAATTTGTTTAGAAAATTTTCTTGGTATTTTTTAAATTGTCTGTGTGATCTATGGTGTTGTCCTCTTATTATTTCTGTTATTAGCAACATCAGACTTTTACCAATATAGATGATTTTCATTATTTTCCAATTTCTTTTATGAATTGCCTACTCACTAAGATTTATTTGTAACCCCCAAATTAATA